GCAAGCTAACGAGCCAAGAAAACTCACCGGCAAATCCCTAAAAAAGTGATGGAACCGACCATCGAATCTCTTCACCCAACACTTTCACTCGAAATGGATGTAAGCTCAACAATTATGTTTAATTAGTTTCAGTAATTTTTTCAAGATTCCTTACAACCTTGTTAACTTGATTTTGTACCCTTTATTGTGTTCCCTGTCTACGCTCTCTCCTAAAAATCGGACCTTTGATTGGCTACATTCCGAGTAAGCAGCCTCAGCCTCAGAGGCAAATGTAACCTCATCATTGTTACTTTACATTGAGGCGATGCCGGCGAAATTTATATGTATTCGGCTAGTCAACAGACCGATGCTGAAAAAAGACAAGATGATGAAGATGAAGCAATTGAGAATACGTTTTTCGAAGATGACTTGTAGGCACAATCAAGTTGCGAGATAACAGGGGGTCGAGCCAACAATTTTGCTGTCAAGCCATAGTCTGTAAATAATTTAATGCGACAGCATTCTTGATTTTCAGACATATCACAGGACCAAGCTACATGTCATTTAGTGACATCCTTCTGTGATGCTGTCTAGCTCTGCGGGACAGACGAACAGGCCAGCAGGGATGCATCCGTCTCAAAGGACGCAAATGCAAGCCAACTTTTTATACGAAATGGAATATCCAATCATGGTACCAAATGAACCTGGCAATTGATGCGGCTCGATTTCGCTTACCCAGAATGCATTCAACCAGCTTCTGCGTCTGTGGGTCGGAGGGCATGTACCAAGCCGTCCTGGACTGGGTCCCGGGTGCGCCTGGCTCCTCCATTCCCGAGCAGACTGGGCCTGGGGACCGAGTGCTGTTGTGCCCTGACGCCAGGCTGAGACTGGCCGATCGGGACTCAGAACCTCGTCTGGAGCGCATCAGCTCTTTGTACTCAGAAATGCGCAACTTTCGACCGTCAACAATGCATGTACGCTTCGGTCGTGGCCTGTATCTGTACTCGGGATGCTCCTCCATGTGCTGACGACTCAGCCGCGACTGCTCCTCGTAGTACGGCTGTTTCTGGTCGGCCGACATGGCCTTCCACTTGGCGCCGAGTATCTTCGAGATGTTGCTGTTGTGCATGTCAGGGCAGGCCTTTGGGACAACAAGAGAGGGGGGTAGAGGACAAAATTACTGGTAATCCTTCTGCTGGCGTAGATAATGATTAAACCGAAACTGCTGCTGCCATTTGAGTAGGTGATAGGGAACAGTGGTGGGAATAGAACTGATCTAAGTTATGAGGTTAGACTCATTTTCATTCGACTGTAATTGTATGATGAAAAGACTCAAAGACTGATTCCATCAGAAAATGACGACAGTCCTCGTGGCCAGATTTCGTTTGGCTTAACTAGAAACTTCCGTTCGACGCTGTTCTCACAGCAATCTTATATGGCCCTAGTGAATATTGATTCAAATTAAAGAGTCAAAAACTCACAAGCCCTCTCTACCGGCTCTATAGATAACTAAAATATAATATAATATAACATATATATTTTATATTTTATATTATACTATAATTACTATATTCAATGAGGTATTAAGTGATGACGTCAATGTCAATCTAAAAATGTTTTCGTATGTACTTTATATGTGCGACAGTGCCTTCATGCATAAGTAGGGACACAAAACCAACAGTAGTAGCTCCAAGGGATCCGAACAGAGCGTAAAGTATTTGCAGCCTATTTCGTTTAATGTGCTATGAAGATTGATAAAATCGAAGGTATGAAGACCAAGATGGTATGGCCTTTTGTAGGTAGCCGTCTCATTTCGTTGTATAGAAGTTGTTTAACCTTGTTTACGCAACTTGGTCATATTGGTAGGAAGACTTAGAGGAACGCACCTAGTCCGGAGTCGATTGTATGCATCAT